ATAGGACTCCAAGAGACGTCAGCCGAAATCCGCGGTGGCCTTGTTCAGCGGTCCTCCGTCGACGGAAAACACATACGCCTGAATGGGTGTCCTTCGTGAAGTATCTATTGGACTCTGATAAGTAGAGCTGTGATATGGGTACAGGGCACATACACCACATCCCGGTCTACAAGGTGGAGACCACTGGGGAGGGTACTGAATTCAACACCATCGAGCTCAAGGTCTGAAGCACGTTTAAGTCGCTAACCGATATGAAAATTGCAAACAGACCATCGCTGGCCTTCAAACACCAGTCCACCAGATTGCCCTTCGTTGGGTGAAACGAAGCGTGGAAAATAGCAACTGGACAACCAAATATCAGTTGAGCTCTTGCAGCTTCGGACTTAATAACAGACCTATATCCTGAGGTGCTCTTCCTCTTGAGTCGACGGCATCGATGGACATGGTTGCAGCCGCATGCACAGGCTGCTGCAGGCAGCAACTGTTTAAAGTCTCACACAATATTAATGTCACGGGCTGAAGGGACCATCGGTCACACTCTTGTCACGCTTAATCCGCGATGGCTTCGACCACTTCATCGCAGCCTCAACAAATCAATGTTGCTGATCTCGACCTCCAACAGTTATCTGATGTGCGCCGTCAGCTAGAAGAGGTACCTTAATGATATTGTTGTTTTCCTACATCTCTGATTGCGCCGTAGGAACTGAACCACCTCACGAATTCATTCGCACAGCTGAAACAGGCACAAGCGAAGTTTAAGTCATGTATTGAGAATGTCGGAGAAGTCAAACCTCAAAACAAAGGTACTTCTGCATTTTCGTCTTCAGGCTCTTACTTGACTCTATCCGTACAGGAACGACTATCCTCGTTCCTTTGACCAACTCTCTGTATGTTCCTGGTCACCTGAGTGACGCGGAGAATGTAATCGTCGACGTTGGTACAGGGTATTACGTGAAGAAGGCATGTACGAGGTCTTATATTACAGTCTGCCGCTGATTAGATGGCCGTACAGTCTCGGGCCCAAGCCACAAAATATTATGAAACAAAAGTGGAATATATTCGCACCAATCTCGATACGTTACAAGAAACGATACAGAAGAAGCAGGAGAATATGAACTACCTGATTAATGTAATGCAAGCTAAACTACAGCAGTCCCAGACACAGCCCATCAAAGCCTGAACTTTCGATTCGAGGCAAGATTACATTTGCACACTGTTCTCCCCCGCTGATCTCTCTATAACAGATTTTTAGCTGTAAAATACTGAATGCACAATTTTGCCCCTTCATCGTGCATGCAACGTTCGTTACTTTACTTGGATGGCAGATCCCAGTTAATGGCCTGAGAAACGAGGTCCCTCACTGCTGAAGAAGATTGCTCTGTGTCGTCTGTGCTCTTGTCGATCACTAGGATATGAACAATCTCCTGAACTAGAGATTTATCGAAAGGTATGTGACATATTATCTTGAGCCTGTCACGGCTAGCTACAAACGACAAAAAACGCAAGAGCCACAAAACTCGATCAAACACAATATCATCATGTCAAAAACGCTTCGACGACTGTGGACCTCATGACGGTCGATGCATACGAGAGACCCTATTCGTGGTCTCCGTCTTGCATCGAGCAGCGCATCATGCACGAAAACACTGACTCGCGAAGGCAACTGCTCGTCTAGTGCTATGACTTTCTAAGAACCACTTCAAAGAACGGTATGAATAAGTATTGTCCAAATCTTCGCCTCGTTGTCATCTCGGAGCTCATTGGACGTCATTTAGTGCGAAGGCGGCCGTACAAGTGAGTGGGAAGTGACTGCACATTTGTCGTTGTACGTCTACGACACTGACGAGAACACAACTATTCGATGGCTTCTTCAAGTTGCACAACACAGTTCTACATCCAGCGAGAACGACAGCGCTCGGAGTTGCTTGATAATAGAATGGCTCATCAGCGTCATTAGAACTGAAATCACATCTACCGAATCGAGTTCTATCTTTCTGGTCGAGGAAGTCCAATAAACGGATGGTTCAGGTGGTCAGGCACAAGTTTGCCGGTTAGTACGTATATTCCCTGGCGATAATTAAATGTGTGTTCGTGTCGTGATCTTTTGCATCGTATGCCAGACGGGCGTCCGTCAAGTCAAATTGATTGAAGCGTTGAAGTTCCTCATCTCGTCCGTTGTCAAGCTTCCTCACTTCTACTGCCCACTATCCCTTCCTCCTATTCCTTGACACACAAGCACTTGTAATAATTAGAGGACCAATAACATGTCTCCTGCCCAATATCTATGAATTGAACTTCGCGAGCATGTCGTTGGCTATACTTCTCAACCCCTTCACAGCAACGTCGACCCCTAACTGCTCTGGCAGGTCTCGCATTTCCACCACCACGATAAGACGATCCATCCGTCTGATGAGCTGCTCGAGATCATCTTTTGAAGCGATACACATGTACTTCTTTGTACCTTCTACAAGAACGGGGAGGAATTCGATACAGTGTGTGTTGTTCATTATGAGAAAAGCAGACCACCATGCCTTTCTCATCATGTCCCACCACTGCTGCTCTGTGATGGAATTGAGTGATGCGGTGGACACCTGTTCAGATGTCATTCGAAGGAAGATACCAGCGAGGTAAAATGCATGCGGCTCGGGTGATTCGCAGCACACTGCGATCATCCTAATGACCCGATCCATTTGGCAATGCAAATAGGGGCGCCAGTAGGAATTCCTCGCTAGGGCAAAGATCAATTCGAGATAGCACAAGTCGCGGTCGGGATGGAAGAAGCAATCAGGACCACCATCGGTAGATGTTGCGCCTGGTTGCGGACAGACAGCGGTAAGAATAGCAGGGGATAAATTGGTCAAAACCATGTCCACATCATCAACGACATTGATGGAGGCTAGGACTTCTCGGGAAGTGTGAGCAGCGCGAAGGGCAGCATGGCGTAAACGGAGAGGCATGCTGCTCCCCATGCAGGCAATGAGCTTCTCCATGTATAGATGTTGTTTAGTGGAGCTGCAGCCCACTGTCATACTACTCAGTAGTACAAGGATGTCACCTGCTGTCTCGTGGTCGTTGAAACAAATATCGCCGAGGTAGTCCACTAGCCAGTCGAAGTTTTTCGGCGAGTGGGAATTGCTTTTCCACGAGATTCGATGCTGCCATAACCAGGCAGGACCCCATCGCGATTCATCGGTAACGACGGCGAACCTGAAGGGCTGAACTTTTCGCAGCGCTGCTGATTGATGCCTTTCCGATAACCTCGCCCGTGAATAAATCTTCCTACACACGCCCAGGTTCCACATATCCTGTGATGGAGGTGGATCAGGTAGACCGAGCTGGAGCATGCGACAGATGACGTCGGTGAGGTCCCATGCTCGGCAGCAATTTGTGCTGTCACTGTCGAGATTGCTTCCGTCCAATGCCCAGAATGCTTTCCGGAACTGCGCCCAAAGAGACTCAGCAAGTTGATGTAGAGCAGAACTACACGATCTTTTCGTTAAGCATAGAAGAACGATCAAATGAGTCAATAGCACCTTTTATCAACCCGAACGATGTCTTTCTTGTCAAATTGAATCCCGACCATGACGCAAGCCAGAAGAGTGCAATTAGCTATGATTTGAGGCGACGGAGAGGAAGGAGAGGACAGGTGTTTTGATATCACTGTGATGGCAAGTTTTTCTACGTCTTCATCTACTCGCCCTGTGACAAAGTGGAAAGGAAGAACGTGAGTCAGCCGCTCGAGGACAGGGTCGGAACAAGCCCAAAACTTCGGTGAAGACCACAAGACAAAAGGTGGTTTATATTTCGCAACAAACAGCTTGGTTGTCGCAATAATCACATTGTCTTTGACTTTTGTCCTCTCCAACATCCGGCGAAACACGCTGTAGTCTGTGCTTCCCTGGCCAATAAATCCATAGGCAGGATGTCCCTGAAGAATGCGGTTGCAGTATAGGTGACAAAGAGCCATTGTACATGCCGATGCCTTCTCCTCCAACGACGGTATGATTCGCTCCTGGACATCCAAGCAGGTTGTGTAAACATCGTACAGCTGACGCAGCGTGTCTGAGACGTCAAGATCCAGAGGCCAGTCGACATGCCGAACAAGGCTAGCAGCAGCGAGAAATACTTCAGGATCTGTGGATGTCTCGAGCAGCCATTTGATGCTCGGTGCTTCGAGAGAGCTGATGGGTGTGTCCGGCAGCTTGAGCTTAAGGAGGGATTGATTCTTGGCTATAATTTTCCTGCTCTGGTCAAACGATTGTGCTTCAGAATCCATGGCCATTGTCAGAGAGCGCCGCCAGGATAGAAGGCGCTGAAATGCGTCGAATAATGACCGAAGACGGCGCCATGTGAATGAGCGGGTTGCAAACACAGAGCCTGGAGTAATATGAGCGCTGGGTGTGCTATGCAATAGTACCAAAGAACGTCACCTGCTAGTTCTGATCGGATCCGATATATAACATGCTGGACATATCGATAGAACAGGGAATTTAACATCAATTGTAGCACATCTAGCAAGAAATGATCAAAATTTGGGCATGCTTAAGGAAACGCAACGTACCGTGCACTGACTGCTTAAGATACCGGGACGTCAAAATAACCACTGGACGGAGGACCTCTGCAATTTTGACTCAGACCGGAGATGAGCAGAACTTGAAAATGATCTTACTATCAATGCGCAATATGCGCAACATCGTCGATATCGGGCTCTGAAATGGACAGACAGGGGATACCAAAGCTGCCATCACCGTCAGCGAATAAAACAAAAACCCAAAGACCGTGGTTGCAATGATGACCCAGGCGACCGTGTACTGCTCGTACCACATATTGGCGCTGAGAGCAATTCCAAAGAGAAGAAGAGAGAATTGCAGTAGGATTGGGAACGATTGCATGACAGCATCAAAATACCATGTGACAATGCCGTCGAACCTCTCTTGTCTGCGCTTCGCTCGTTCCTCCTCCGAGCCGCGGCCGTATCTATGCGACTTGTAAAACCCGAGCCACTGTTTGCCTAGCACGGCCTCGAAAGCAGCGAGTAAACTGAAGGACAAGCTCGCGTACGCGATGCATTGTATCCTTATGTTGGCTGTGGACGGCGACCAGGTAGATGCTGGCGATACTGGCGTAGACCCCGCTGCAGTGAAGTTGCCGAGTCCGATTTGGACGAGTTGGGCGAGAAGGGCATGCGTGGTATCGTCGGGGTCTGGACTGAGATTCGACTCCATGGCCACAATAAAAGCTGTGCTGACGGCAGAGAACAGACCAGACTAATCGAACGTCAATATTTCAATCCCAATACAAGGCAAAGGCGAGAATGCAAAACTTACAAAGATCAACACGATGTCCATGTCATTGTAGTATCGCTCAAGGAACTCCTCGTCGTGTTCCACGGCGACTCTTTTGTATGCCGCCCAGAAACGAGAGCGGTCGTCCTTGCCGGTCTTCGAGACAATCGTTGAATCCTTAAGAACGTCCAACACCTGCTTCAAGACATTCACTCTGCAGGAATAGTATCATCAGTTGTGACCCCTTGGCTTATTTGGTTGCTCACATTTCACCTGGACTTAGTTGGTCATCCTGCAATACGACCTTTTGCGCCTCACTGAGACGATATGAGCATGATCGAGATTGCGACCGAGTGGAACTCACGTAGTTGAGGCGCCTTTGGGTGAATTATTTGAAGTACTTTCCTGTACGTGAGGTTCTGGTAGCTGGGGGGGCCCAGAGTTCGAGCTGCAATTCATGTAAGGAGGGTGCAAAGTATCAGAGTAGAAGCACTCACATTCCTGGTGAAGTCACCACCAAAGGTTCACAAATTTCCTCCTCACTGTGTCGCTATCAGATGGGTAACTGAGATTTCAGGAAAGTTGCAACTCACTCATCGGCAGGTCGCAAGGTATCATTTTCTGGAGGAGGCTGCTCATTAAGATGGGCACTGTGTGTGCTACCATCTTTTGATAGCCTTCGGCTACGTATTGGAGTGAATGACGATCTTGACATGAGTATGATGTAGGGTTTCAGGGATGGAGCAAATGATTGGGAATAGTCTGAGGCGAGTGGACGGAAATGAGGGGTAGTGCACAACCAATGAGTCAGGCGGCTATAGCTATGACGAACATGTGGTGAACTGAAGGTACTCGTGAGGCTTGCTGAGCTGTAGCGGATATGAATGGCCTCGCATAGTCTGCATGGCCTGGCACTCGTGATAAGCGCTGGAGCCCAATGTGTTGCAGGGAACTGCGGAGCACAAATAGTACACGCTAATAAAGTTCTACAAGTGACTGGTTGGACTGTATGACCACTGGCCATGCACTACATGCTACAATCGTCCAGAACGGTCCAAGTTTCTGTGAGGCCATCGTCGATAGAGATACCATGGTGGAATGGGCAACGGATGCGCTGATACCGGAAGGCTCTAGCGCTTGCGTGGATAGTGGTACAGGGTCCTTTTGTGACGGTGTGCATGGTATAAGGATGGAGGCAGCCGTGGCTATTGATATGACTCTGTTGGTAAAAGAGCTGCGGGTTATGTGGTGATAGGCCAGAGTGACGGGAATAGAGAAGGACCGACGAAAGTTCCAGGAGTTTGTGAGGACGTCGACTCAGGATTTGCTATGAATGAGGGCCATCAGAGAACTGGTGAGAAGAAGATATTGTCATATATCGTTATATATCGTAATATATAGGAAAGGATTTCGTCACATTGGAATATAAAGCAATACACATCTGCAAAACACCCCAGTTCTCGCTTAAGTCGCTTAACGTGTCAAAGAAGTCTGATGGGTTACGACTTGCACCCTGAAGCATCCGATTGGTGGAGATGCTCTATAGGTGAGGTAAGTAGTGGAAGATCTGCGATATTTTATCTTGGCCATCTTATCTTCTTAGATAGTGTTATCGATACCAACAATTCATGTTAAACATTGCATGGAAATCTAGTACAGTACACCGCGAGATAAAACGAACTAAGAAGAATCTGTGTGTGACAAATAATACCACTCCTTGTCTGAGAAGTTGTTCAAATAAAAAGTATCATAGAGCTCCAAACATGTTGCAGAAGTAATAGCACAATTAGCACATACATCATACACAGGAATCAATTTGATTGCATGAGTAATGTCAACAAGAGGGAATATCATACCAGCCCTCGCTCATGTGCCATCAGGGCCAGTTACAAACTGGTGCTTGACGCTGTTACAATCATGGTCACCCCTATCTCTTTTCTCTTTTCTCTACTTGTGTATTACATCATGACCGCACCCGTCTGTGCCATCATTAGACTAACATCCTTCTACATCTGTATTACAGCATGACCGTCTTATGCCATCATTAGCTGACTCACCTATGACGTCACTAGCTGACGCATGCCTCTTATCTCTGACTCGACTATGACGTCACTGGCTGACGTATGCCTCTTATCTCTGACTCGACTGATGACGTATGTGTACCTACGTCTATATAAACGCAGTCATGTACCTAGATAAAACTTCACTTTAATCTACTAGGTTTTACCTGCACTATCCTTCGCTTAGGACCTCCAATCCTAAGTCATCTGATAACCAATATTCAAGTCGAAGACACTCTCTTTGACTTGTCTTAAGAACCTTACATTTGTGAGGACACGATCCGACTTTAGGTGTACTCTTATCGAGTACCTATCGTCGCGCCCATCCTAGTCGACCTATGGTTTACCATAACAGACACGGTACATGAAGACTGCAGGATCATCCTGGGGTTGCGCGACAATTTCAAAAGGCTGCACATAGATAAACAGCTGAGCAAGTGCAGGAGGTAGTCCCACACCCCTCATTGACAGTCCAAAAATCATCCGGACTTGAGTGATGATATCATCTAGCAGAGCAGTGCATGAGTATGACAAGGCAAATTAGTAGATATTGAAGACTCACCACTGCCCTGCATTCACAGTAGTACAATATCACAATTTCCAAGATGGTGGGCATCAGATGGTGGATACGCCTGTACTTGCTGACTTGGCATCACAAGGAGTGGGCGCAGCAATGAACATAGCTGAAGATGGAACTTATACCAGACCTTGAGTAGGTGGTTCTGGAAGCAGGAGCTGACTCCATCAACACGCTCAATAAGGGAGTGAAGCTGCTGAGAAAAGTCTGGAAGCATGTAGTGTTGCGTCAAAAAGATGGCTGTCTTATCCATGAGATCACTAGACACAGTGATGTGAAAGGCTGTGACACTATCATCGAATAGGAGGCCCTTGAGGAAGTGGTTGTGAACTGGTCGAGGGCCTTTGAAATGAGAGAGAGATTCAGGGGTGACACGTGTGATCCAAGCAAATGCTGGATCCATGTCGACGACTTCATTGAATTCATTGACAATCAGATTATTGAAGAACAAATTGGTTGAGTGGAAAAAAGCATAAAGGTCAAATTGACGTGCCGAATCTTCCCAATCTAAAATACAAACAATCTGCTGCGTGAAAATCGAACACTGGTGACTGGTGTGCTCAAAGGGAGTTTTGCAGTGAGTGATCAGCATGTGCTCACTAACATCAGCTGTGTATTGTAGTATGGCACCAATGTTAGGAATTGCTCAACCAAATGAAGTGAGGAGCTTGAGCTTTGGTATTTGAAAGTGGTCGATAGGACCTGAGGCTCCCCTGCGAGCCTCAGCAAGGGTGATTGAGCCTTTGAAACGATGGAACTCTTGGAGCGAAGCATTCATAGTAGAGATTGATGATGGAGTGAATGTGGGGGACTGTGCCTGATAGATGAAATCAATCAATGCACAAATTGCACAAATGAAATTGACGTCAACAACACCCGCAATAGTAGGAACAATCGTGTGTTGGATTACCTGGTGTTCGTGACCGGTCATCTGCACAATGTGTGTGATACCTTGGCCGAAATGGCGCATTCTGATGTGTTTATGCTGGCTGCAAAAGCGGGTGTCAAGTTCATCAGCCCTGACAGCCTCCTTGCACCACTTAACAACATGATTAAAAAAAATTTATGGAGAGTGTGAAGAACATCAGGTGCAAGAAAAAGCGCTGGATCAGAAAAGTGCCAATTGCGCCAGAAGGGAAGCTGGACACTGCTCAGTAAAAGCACCTTGGCTTCTTCTTGGAAGTGCTGAACTTTCCAAGGATCCATGCATCGGCAGAGTTTGTGAAGTGCTTCAATTGTAAGATGGCCGGAACGAGGCGGATACAACTTCCTGTCGCCAAACTGCAACTGCATGGCCAAAGTCACAGGCGAAGCATTCTTGCTTACACATGCAATTAACTGTTGCTCAGGGAGGTCTGCTGTGTATGCAACAAGGGGGGTAAATGAGTAATGTAGGTTGCCAACTGGGTCCACCATTTGAGTACCTGTTGCAGCTGCAGATTTGACACCCTGGAATACAATATCCATACACTGATGCCAGACACAGGCTTGCAAGAGTGAGGCAAAGTCTGGGTGACAGACAAATTGTGGAATTGGCATATATGCTATGCATGACCAAGCGTGCATGGTAGCTTTCATGCGGATGTCGGATCGAATATTAGTGATGGTTAGGAATGTTGGGTGCATCTCAAGTCCACCTGTTTGTCGAGTTACTGGTGTTTTGTCAGAAGCAAGGACTATGGGAATGATAGTGGCGCTGCGGGGAAGCTGGTCCTAAGAATGAGAGAACCAAATCATTAGATTTAG